GGGGGGGGGGTTTGGAACCGGAACCTGCCAGAAGATCCCTTCGGCATTTTTTAAACATTAAAGTGACTCAGAGACGTGGGGCAGGTGGCACGGAGCAAGACCGCAACTGGGCTGACGCACCTCAGAGACGTAACCTCCCAGGAGCGAGGTCAAACCTGTGTTTGAAATGACAACATTAAACCCGGATTTTCCCATTCGCCTAGCTATTCAGAATAATCCTCTATCTCTGCTTGCCATTTGCGTGCGGTACCAGGAAACTTTGCTTTACAAAGAGAGCAAAAAGGCAAAGGTCACGGGTGGAGGAAGTACATTTAATACGTCCCATCCCCTATACAACCTCCCGTGGCAAAGGCACCTGAGAGCTGGCTCCCGAGCGGCCAGCGCTGCCTCGTACCTGCCAGGCTCTGCCTGTCCCTGCCTGTCCCCTCTCTGGTTTCAGGCTCCCGTTTACCTTGACGGATTCTTCGCCAGCGGCTCTTCCCCAAAATCCAGGGAAAAGACACCCCGAACTCCCCGGGAAGAGACCCACCGGACGGTGGGGCCACGTCCCTGATGTCCCTCCACGACGCGTTTTTCACTAACAAGCACCTCACTCGCCTCCAAATTCCCTCCCTTTAGCTCCATTTTCAACCAGTTCTGCCCTCTGACAAAACGGTGTCCCCCTCCCAATTTCCGAAGCAGCGCCTCGCGATTAAGTCGCCGCTCCTCTGACCATCGCTGCCGTAAAATTCTCCCGAATCGATTTCGCCAAAGCCAAGATTTGCACCCACAGAGCTGCCGTCCCAGCTCGGCGCGGCCGACCCCACGCAGGCAACCCGAGCTAAACCAGACCCGGGGAATATTTGTGGAGAAGCCCTAAGAACAGGTTGCTTTCATCTCCATCCTCCCCTGTGGATAAATTCTCCCTCCAAGAGGTTTAAACGCCGCGTTAGCACCGGCTTAAAAATCTCAGCGAGCCACCTTGGGCCAGAGCTGTTGATGCTGGGCCCAAATGCTGGGTTTTATCTCCATTTCGGGGTCTCCGAAGCATTTTATGGAGCCTATTCAGTGTCCCGCTGGGAGAAGGGGACCGTGCCCGATGCAGGTAAAGGATCTCTGACCGAGGTCCGGCCACCTCCATCCCCCCAAGCTCCGCCGCGGCGGCCATCCGGCTTAGCCCCAGCTTTATTTACGGCTGCCGGGAGGACGATGCCGATAACGCCATCCGAAGGACTTATAATGCCCCATTGAGGTTTGGTTCCTCGACTACGCTGCCGATGGGAGGGCCTCCCCACCGCCCGGATCACAACGGCTCCATTGTCAGCCTGGTCCGAGCGGCCGCCCCGCTCAATGGCCGGGTTTTATACGGCTCTGAAAATGTCTTTTACGCCGCCGCTTGTCGGAGCGTCGCTGCGAGAGCCGGAGCGGGGCCGGGGGAGGCTCGGCGCCTTTAGCACGCTTGTACTGACACGACAAGGGCTCCAAAGAGGGATCGGTTCAAGGCACGTTTCAGCGGGACGTCAGTGGGACAGCTTTTGATACCGCTAGTAAAGCAATTTTAATGCAGCGTTTTAGATTTCCCTTTGTGCTTTTCCCCCACTAAAAGAGAGAATCGAGTCCCTTCAGACCCCTCGCACAGCAAGACCAACTCATTTCGACGCCTGCTGAAACAGAGGCAGCAGCGAGACAGGTTCCTTCCCCCCCCAAATATTTAAGTCCAGCATCTAATTCACAGATTTAGAGGGCTCCGGGCAGCTGAACCCAATCCCTGGCTCCTCCGCAGGCTTTTTCCACGACCGATGGCGTCTCAGGTTGTCTCAACAGAGCTCGTAACCTGTCTCTCGTATGTTTAGGCCACGGAAGGCACCACCGTAACGCGCGGCTGCCCCGTCCCCGGACCGGGCTGTGTGAACGCGCGTCTTTAGGCTTCTTCAAACAGTTAAAAAAAAAAAACAACCACCTAAGCGGGGCGATCCGCAGAGCACGGATCCAGACCTCCAGCTGACTCCTTATCCGAGCATCGACACTCGTTCGCGTTCACCCCCAGCGCAATCGACCGAAATTACTTATTCTGAAGAGGGAACAATGTCTTTCCCGGTGGCTCCTCGCAACAGGGAAACAAGATAAGGCAGGGGGATGAGCCGAAACCGCCTCGTCCGCATCCTGCCGCTGTTCCCACCTCGCTAGCCGAGGCTCGGCGGCACACAGGGGATCGGGACACATCACCGAAGAACCCGGCGTGGCTCGTTACGGGAGACGGGATGCCGGGCTCAAAGTGCCGCTGGAGTCGGGCTTCCTATGGAGGCTCTGCTCTTCCTAACGGGTCAGAAAAGCCAAGATTAAGGGTCAAGCAGCGGCGAAAGGCGGGGGGAGATCAGCAAAAATAACCCCGCTGCCCGTTTCTAACCAGCTGTTTCCAGAAGGAAACGTGGGCAGCTGGCGTGGAAGGCCTCCCCGCATCCCTTCGGGAAGCCTTCGTCAGCGTGAGGGAACGGCGAGACCTGCCGCAAGGGGAAATCGGAGGGGCCGGAGCGATTTGAGCGGGCCCCAAAGGGTACTCATCTCCAACTCGAATAAACCAAAGGCCCAACGCTTCGCCGAGGGGTCTGCCGCCCTTCAGCCGCCGACATCCCACCAGACAGCTACACCTTACAGGCAGCTCCCGTAAGGAAAACCGCTCCACGTGGAAACTTTCCCGTTTCCGTCCCGTTTTGCAGACTAAAACCACCAGACGCTACTCCCAGAGCAACGCCTGGTCCCTCAGCCGGAGATCGCCTCGGTTTTTAAGCCCGGCTCCCTTCCCAACGGCAGCGGCACGTCCGTCCGTGTGCGTGCATTTACACACCGACGTGCATTTGCACGCGGGGAAGCGGCCCCTCGGCTTCAGGCGGAAAAGCTCTCAGGGATAAAACGCGGCTGGCGCGCTCAAAGCACGGAAGCTCGATGCGCTTGGCTCGAAATCTAGAGCAAAGCTTCACGCGACGCAGCTGGTTTATTGTGACAGTCGGAACAGCCTGCAGGCCTAGGCGCTCCGAGCCGCCCGGCCTCCCGCTGTCTGTCCCGGAGAAACGCTCGATGCCGCCGGCGCGGGATAAAAGCCGACGGGCTTCACCCGGCCGCGAGCGCCGGGACGGGCACCCCCGACGGCATCGAGCGCTGCGCAGAGACGAGCAGGCTGTCCCTGCCCAACCCGGGCAAGAGGTGAGCCGTTTCGGGGCTATTAATCCCCAAATTATCATGCAGAGCTGTTATAAGAGCGCGTAACGATAATCTATATCCCTCGTTATCGTATTCCCAAATAATTCAGTAAGCGTGGAGGGAAAGCAACGCTTTAAAGAGCGGGAGAGGCCGGCACGCTGGTACCACCAGCACACGACAGCGACCACCCAGCCCGACGGTTGGGGGCCGCTGACACCACGGCAGGGCAGAATCCACCCCACGCGTTAACGACCCCATTATTAACGCAAGCCGCGGGACGAAGTCAGCGCCACGGGATGGGGGCGAAAGATTCCCGGTTACAGAGACAACCGCGCAGATTCAGCCTCGCAGAAAGCCCTCCGATTGAGACCCCGGCTGTCTGCGGAGTGCGTTAACCCCTTCTTAAAAGCCTTCTGACGGAGACTTCAACGCTCCAAAACAAAGATTTCTAATTACCGGGGCCGGTTTTCCAGCAGCACCGTAATTAGAGGCTGCCAAAATTTCCACCGGCAGCGATTTAGGAGGGGGAATAACTCGGCCATTTCAACCCCGAATGCAGCGAGGCTTAGCAACACCCAGACGCGAGGTTAGTCCGGGGGGGGCGGTTGAGCTCCGCTGGTCCGGCCGACTCCTCCTCTCCCTCCCACGCCAACACCACCGGGCTGAAAAAGCATCCCCGGCCGCTCCGCGGGCCGCGAATCCACGCTACGAATCCGACCTGGGTGAGGATAAAAGAAAAGGCAAATCGTGTCAGGTGACGGATCGCACAGCGGGCTCGGGATCCTGACCTCGCCGCTCGGAAAAACGTTACGCAAGCGGGGGGGAAAAAAAAAAAAATCCAACGGCAGAAAGCACGACGGCGGGGAAGACTCAGGCGGCGCTTTCACAGGACGCGTTTCTGCAGAGAAAGGCGACCACCGGCGCGTCACCGCAGCGACCGCGGCGCCAAAAAAAGCCCGAAACGTCAGAAAAACTGCCCGGCCTGCTTTTCTGGGGAATGTTAAGGTTGAGATCCCAGCGAATGC